GACCATGTATAGTAAGGCGTTTTTAGCCGAAAAAAGACGACCATGTGTAGTAAGGCGTTTTTAATCTGAAAAAAACGACCATGTATAGTAAGCCGTTTTTATCAAAAAAAACGACCATGTATAGTAAGGCGTTTTTATCAAAAAAAACGACCATGTATAGCAAGGCGTTTTTCGCCGAAAAAAACGACCATGTATAGTAAGGCGTTTTTATCAAAAAAAACGACCATGTATAGTCAGGCTTTTTTATCAAAAAAAAAACGACCATGTAAAGTAAGGCGTTTTTAGCCGAAAAAAACGACCATGTATAGTAAGGCGTTTTGAGCCGAAAAAAACGACCATGTATAGTAAGGCGTTTTTATCAAAAAAAATGATGTGTAATAAAAAACAACTCAACTGCTCTATGTGGTGCTTTGGCTCAGGGGTAGAGTGATGGCGTCCCAAACAGGAGGTTGGGTGTTCGATCCCAGGTGTTTGCAACAATGTTTTTGTAGTTTTTTTAACCACCACGCATTGGAGAGCTTAGCTGATGAAAAACACAAAATAACCAGAAGGTTCTTTGTGGTGGTTTGGCTCAGGGATAGTATTTTGCCTTCCCAAACGGGAGGTCGGGTGTTCGATCCCAGGTGTTTGCAACAATATTATGTATTTCTTTCACCACTATGTTGACAACCCAAAGGTTCCTTGTGGTGGTTTGGCTCACGTGTTGAATGCTGGAGTCCGAAGACAGAGGTTGGGTGTTCGATCCCCACTTGTTGCAACAATCTCCATTCTTTCTTTAGCCACCATGTACAGCTTATTTGAGGAAGAACACAAAACATACAAGCAGTTTCGTGTGGTGGTGTGTCTCAGGGGTAGAGAAGCCATGTCCCAAACTAGAGGTTTGGTGTTCAATCCCCAGTGGTTGCGACCGTGTCTGATCTTTTTTTTTCTGTTAAAAACGCCTTCCTATCCATGGTCTTTTTTTGCTGTTAAAAACGCCTTACTACATGGTCATTTTTTCATCGCAAAAATTGACCATGTAAGGTAAGACGTTTTTTTTCTCGCAAAAAAAAAAACGACCATGTTTAGTAAGTTGTTTTTACAGCAAAAAAAATGACCATGTGTAGTCAGACATTTTTCATGTATTTTTAACGATACTTCGAAGCCTTAACTTTAAATGTGACCACTACTTTGAAATCCAAACCAACCTTAACTTTAAACTCCAGTTGAAACCCGAACCAAATTTCAAACCCTCTGTGTGTGTGTGTGTGTGTGTGTGTGTGTGTGTGTGTGTGTCCTGCCAGACTTTGGTGTGAGTGCCTTCCTGGCCACCGGCGGCGACATGACCCGCAACAAAGTGCGCAAGACGTTTGTGGGAACTCCGTGCTGGATGGCACCTGAAGTCATGGAGCAGGTGGGCGGTGTGCATCTTAGCTCACCGCAGTGACGAGCGCTTCCCGTCCCGCCCGCTGACAAAACTCCCTCTCCAGGTGAAGGGCTACGATTTCAAAGCGGATATCTGGAGCTTCGGCATCACCGCCATCGAGCTGGCCACCGGGGCGGCGCCTTACCACAAATACCCACCCATGAAGGTCCGCGCTTCCCCGGAACGTTTTGCTCGCCGCCGCCGTCGTCGTCGTCCAGGGAACAAACGACTGCGATGTGCCCAGGTGCTGATGCTAACGCTGCAGAACGACCCGCCGGGCCTGGAGACGGGCGTCAGCGACAAGGAGATGGTGAAGAAGTACGGAAAGTCCTTCAGGAAGATGATCTCCATGTGTCTGCAGAAGGACCCGGAGAAAAGGTGGCTGGGAACCTGATGATGTTGTTTGTTAGCATGTAGCGCCCACCGTTGCTGTTTGTCCGGCAAGGCAGTTTATGATTATTATTTTTTTATATCGCATATAACCTGAACCTAGGATTGAAAACCCAACTGAATCCTAAGTCTGGTTCTGAAGTCTTTTTTTTTTTTGCGACCTTTCAACCAAAATGTGACGTGCTTCACCATCTGGCTTTTATTGCGGCAGCAGGCAGCGTCCATCGCATATAACCTGAACCTAGGATTGAAAACCCAATTGAATCCTAAGTCTGGTTTTGAAGTCTTTTTTTTTTTTGCGACCTTTGCGGCCTCTTGTAAAACGTGTTTGCAAGCCTCCTGCTGCTCCACATCTCAACTCACTAACGATCCCATCCGCCTTTGCGCTTCTCAGGCCAACGTCCTCGGAGTTGCTCAAGAATAAATTCTTCCAGAAAGCCAAGGTAGGTCCGAGCCTCCCCTTGAAGTCGTTTGGCTCTTCAAAGTGGTCGGGACGGGAACGACCGGTGCACCGACCTGGAAGGTGGACATGGAAACTATCTGGTTCCCAAAAGTGCTCATTCCTCATTTCCATTAAGCTCAGTGCTAAATCCTGAACTATTGCAATTGTAAATGTCAACAAGAAATTCACAACAGCCGATGCATGATACATCAATGTTTTGGCCCCCGAGCTTCGGCATCTTTAAAGTTGGCATTTTTCGTCTGCCAGACACACGACTACCTCCTTGAGAAACTTCTTCAGAGGGCTCCTACGATGTCAGAGAGATCCAAAAGGGTAAGGGATGATCCAGCTCATGCGTTTCTGTGACCTACTTAGTGGGAAATGGAGACAAATGTTGAAAGATTTATCATATTAAAAAAAAAGTTTGTGAAACATTCTAACCCAGCTACCTTCGGGCAGTAGGCGGGGCGGCCGGAGCCGACACGCTAACCAGTCGACTACCAGGCGCACAGTTTGTCTGTTACTGTATTTCAGTTACGAGTGATACGCGGGCTCCCTCTAGTGGTCAATGCGGGATACTGTTGCTTCGTCTTTCGAAAAACGGCCCATGTTTTGTTCAGCTCAGCTGCATTTATCATTGAAGTCCAACAAAGTCACATGAAATTATTAATTTTTTTCTTTTCAAACATTTATTTAGGTAGTTTTGACTTCCTTTTTATGCGCAATCCATTCTCATTGAATGATTTCTAAAGTGCCGTATTTCTACCCTTCGACATTTCAAACTGCAAATATTTGACAGTAGCTTACAAGAACAAAATATCATCTGCGAATAAAACATTTTTTGAAGAAAATACAAAATTTGGAGAGACCGGAAGAGTCACAGAAAAGTAGATAAGTCAAACCCAAATTTCTCCTGTCGAGTGCAGTCGGGGATTTCACCTGAAAGTTGTTGGGCGGCTCGCCACAGGTACGTCGCGTTCCGGGTTCCAGCGGGCGCCTGCACAAGACGGAGGACGGCGAGTGGGAGTGGAGCGACGACGAGCTGGACGAAGAGAGCGAGGAAGGCAAAGCGGCCGTGGCCGCCTTGAGGGTGAGCCGTCGGCGCCCGCGTCTCCTCCCCCCACTGGGGCCTCGCTTGTCCATCCGTCGCGGGCGTCCACTGTTTTTTGTCCCATGTGTCTCACCTGTGCGTCTGTGTGTTCTGTTTGACGGCGAAGGAGCAGCAGGTGAAGCCTGCTGGCGCCCCCCGGCGACAAGTGCGCTTCTCCTACCCCCTCGAGCTGCCGGCGTCCACGGTTGTTCACTTGCCAGCGCAAATACAAATGGCCTTCCCCTAACAAAGGAAGGACTCTCGTTAGCTGCGGCGGCAAACTGCCCCCCCCAAAAACAAATGATAAAAATCCATAATTGGCAAATTTTTCTCTTCGTTGTAAATTAAAACACATGCTAATGGACAAAGTGTTGAAAAACAATCAAGCGTTTATTGTCGTAAGCGTTAAGGGGGAACCGCCCCCCAACCCTTAATTTGAAATTCTCACCCTAGTTTGAAGCCTAAATTTGAAACCCTAAACCCTTATCATGAATAGTACCTTCGCCCATTCGTGCAGCCTGTAACCTGATAAGGGTTCATGCAAGGAAAAAGATACGATTGACAATTTTATTTTATTTTTTTTTTGCAGTCGACTATGTGATAAAAGGGCATTCATCGACGGTTTCACATAAAAACACATTTAGAAAGAAACGAAACGTTTCAAGATAGAACTCCCCATGATGCAAAGTGATGTTGTTGTAATTAGTCGGAGTCCCGCGCACGTTTCCCGACAACAAAGCTATTCTCGATTCGGAAAACGTCCTCGGCATGGACACGCACGATACGTTTTTTATGCGATTATACGATTGCTCATCTCGCCAGTTGTTTAGGATCATTCTGAAATTAATGCGGAATACCGCACCATACTTAAAAAAAAAAATAAAAGGCCACACTCACTCCCGCATGGTTCACCGAGAGTTCTATTTCCTGGAAGCCATCTGTAAGCTGCCGGCGTCCACGGTTGTTCACTTGCCAGCGCAAATACAAATGGCCTTCCCCTAACAAAGGAAGGACTCTCGTTAGCTGCGGAGTCAAACTGTCCCACACAATTGGCTGATACAACACATGCTAATGGGCAAAGTGTTGAAAAAAACAATAAAGCGTTTATTGTGGTAAGCGTGTGTGTGGGGGGGGGGGGACCCAATCACGTTCGTATTTTCTCGTGTTTAACCGAATCTTAATTTGAAAACTTGAAACCCGAACCCCAATTGAAACCTTAATTTGAAACACTTAATGCGGGTAATGAAGCCTGGATCGGAAACCATTGTCCCTCGTTTGGAAGCCTACTTTGTAACCCTAACCCTTTGTTGAAGCCTTAACTTGAAACCCTAGCTTAAAGCCTGATTGAAACCTTAGTTTGAAGCCTAAATTTGAAACTCTAAACCCTTCGCCCATTAGTGCAGCCTGTAACCTGATAAGCTGTCCACGGAAGGGTTCATGCAAGGAAAAAGATACGATTGACTATTTTGTTTTATTTATTTATTTATTTTTGCAGTCGACTATGTGATAAACATCACATAGTCACATAAAAACACATTTAGAAAGAAATGAAACGTTTCAAGATAGAACTCCCCATGATGCAAAGTGATGTTGTTGTAATTAGTCGGAGTCCCGCGCACGTTTCCCGACAACAAAGCTATTCTCGATTCGGAAAACGTCCTCGGCATGGACACGCACGACACGCTTTTCATGCGATTATACGATTGCTCATCTTGCCAGTTGTTTATTTAGGATCATTCCGAAATTATTTAGCAATACCGCGTCATACTTAAAAAAAATATATAAAAATTAAAGGCCATACTCAGTCCCGCATGGTTCACCGAGAGTTCTAATTCCTGGAAGCCATCTGTATTTAATTTTTTTTTAAATTCCTCCTACTTCAAAATATTTTTGGCTTTGT